GATGTAGAGGTTGTGGCAGCTGATACGAAACCTTGTCAGACTTTTTCGAACATCCGGTATTTTGATAATTCGTAGGTATGCCTCTGGTTCGAAATCATGTTTAATTAAGTTATAGAATTCTAGTTTTGGCGAGGAGGCCTTGGCAGCTTTCCAGGTATTCACGAATTCTTCCCTCATGTTATGACTGATTTGGGTGGAGAGCTTAGATTTTGAGGAAGATGAGGGGGTGAAGTTGTATTTGGTGAGAAGCTTTGAGATGTTGGTATACCAAGGAAGTCCCAACATGATTTGTTCGTGAAATGCAGCACAGAGTAGTTCGTTTTCAGTGTTTTCAAGGCGACTATAGTAATCTATTGCAAGTTTGCAGGCTTCAAAGAATAGAGGGTGGCGCCCGCTTTCGCCCCAGCAACCTATATTTGATGCTTTTGAATGTACAGACAAAGACCACTTGATAAACTTTAGGTGGAATTTTTCATAGTGGTCTTGTGCAATGTACTTCAGGGTATGCTGGGGGTTGGCTTTGTCATCTATTTTTGAAAGGTATCTCATGGTTTTTGAGTGGGGGCATAAGACTTGACAGCCATAAAGCAGGATTGGTTTTATTAAGGAGTCAAATAGAATATTAAGGGCACGGTGTGAGAGGGCATCCTTAACTATTTTGCCTTTGAGGCCATAGAGAGCACGGAGAGCCTTGGCCCTCAGCTCAGTATTTGCTGCTGTAAACGATCCATTTCTGTGGAATATTATGCCAAGATAGCAGTATTTATCGGTGTGCTGGATGGGCTGACCTCCCAATGTGAATGTTTCATAGGACTGCTTTCGTTTGGGAGGGCTGAATATTACAATCTTAGTTTTCTTAATATTTACTTCAAGGCCCATGGAGTTACAGAAATCAAATAGAATGTTGATATTGACTTGCAAGGCCTCGGGACTTAGAGCAAGAAGGACAAGATCGTCAGCCCACAGCAGATGTGATATCAGAACGTCAGCAAGAACTGGATAGTCACCAACAGATTTCAGGAGAGATGAAAAGTCATTAATGTAGATTTTAAAGAGGTCTGGCGATAGGGGGTGTCCTTGCTCCGTTCCTTTGCCAATATCAATTTTAGGCGACAAGAGTTTGGAAATTTTTATATGGGCAATAGAGTTTTTGTACATATCACTTAGGCAGTTGAAGAAGTTACCGGTTATTCCAAGGCATGTAATTTTGTGCAGAAGGAGGTCCCTACATACAGTGTCAAAGGCCTTTCTTAGATCAACAAAGCATGCATAAAGACGAGCCTTTTTAGCTTTTGTGTATTTGTCAATTACTGTCTTGAGGGTGAAAACGTGATCGTTAGTTTGGGCACCTTTCGAAAATCCAAGCTGTTCTTTTGGGTCAGGACAGTAGAGCTTTTTGAAGTGTAACAGACGTTCAAGTAAGATGCTAGAGAACAGCTTACCCATACAACTGCCAACTGCTATTGCTCTGTAATTGTCTGGGCTGAAGGGGTTGCCTGATTTATAGATAGGAGTGATAATACTGGTATGCCATGGATAGTAGCCTGAGACCAGAGAGTGGTTGAATGTTTTGAGGATGACTTGGAAACTAGTCTGGATATTTCTTGACATAGGACGAATATGCAGGGCTAATATAATAACATACTAAAAATAGATCAAAATCAAGCTTAAAAAAGTTTTTGTCAAGTTTAACAACAATAATATCTTCAGATTCACTACAAGGAACACAGGAAACACCTTTTCTTAAATCATTTTCAGCAAGAATGCAGACCCCTCCTGAGCGAGAATTTTTGCGGTTGCTATTAAAGGAAAGGTATCCTTCGATTTTAACCTGCTTCTTAGTTTCTTGGAGACATAGAATGTTTGCTTGTTTGAGGATTGTCAGAAATTCGTTATTTTCAAATTTGTTAGATCCGTCTCCTGTACTGTCCTGAATGTTCCAGGACATTACAGCGACTTGATCTCGTGAGGCTTGTTTGTTTTTGAATTTTAGAGTTATTCTAGCGCTCTGCAGTAGAGGGCTGCATTCTATGGGATCTCATACCAAAGGCACGATAAAGGCCAAGTTTTATGTTAACACAAAGTTTTTTTAGACCATACTCTGAGACATGAAGTTGGTCTTCCTTCAGTGGGTTAGGAGAGTCTTGGGATGACCCGGCAGCAGAGATGGCACGGGAAAAGTTTCCAGTGTTGTTTACAGTGAAGAGGCGCCGGTGTAAATCACTTAGTTCTCTTTGCGTGGAGACAAATTGGGTGATTTCCGAGACAAATTGTTTTGTTAAATCACTTAATGGGCCAGGAGTTGGAGTGGGCAGGGAGACGACAATCTTAGCACTGGAGCTAGAGAGGAGTGTGTCAATGGCTTTTTTTGCATCCTCGACTGCTTTATTTACAGGACGGTCTTTATATCTGTAATCATTTACTCCAAGCTGAAGAATGTAACAGTCAACCTCTGGTTGTTTAATCACATCTCTCATGTGTTTTCCGTTTAGGTCAGAATAGGAACCTACTTTCATTTTTTCAACCTTAAACCCAGAGGAGAAAGACTCTGCTATAAATCCGTTCATCTGGGAGTCATGAAGGAGGAGAACTTTTCTTGGTTTTCTGGTTTTTCTATGAGAGTCAGGGAATGTGCCATTTGACCTTCCACGGTTCTGGTTTTGAGCAGAGTGGGGCAAGGGCCTTTTGTTTGAGGGATTTGTATGGTCTTTGAGCTGGAGAGACTGCAGGCAGGCCTTAGAGTCCTCAACCTCGCTCTTAATAGCAGTGATATTAACTTCAAAGGCTTTGAGGGAGGTAGCAGTGTCTTGTTGTTTTGAGTTGATGCTGCTCATGATTTCTTCAAGCTTCTCGAGTCTCTTGTCCACAGTGTTCAGTTCGTTGGACAAATTAGGGGAGCTGGTGCTACCTTTTTGACTGGATTTATCGTCAGAACACAATACAAGAGTTTGCAGGGTGGTGTGTTGCAGACTAATTTTAGCTTGAAGATCAATAACAGAGTTTTCCATGGTTTGGAGGGAATGGGTGACGCAATCAGGCTCAGCTGAGGTGGAAGGAGGCTCAAGAAGAAGCACGCTAAGGCGTTTGTGGCATGCTTTCACAGCTTTCTTGAGTCGTTTCTTACAGTCAATGAGGGACCCTGAGTTTGAGCTGCCATGACGAGAAAGTTCGTTTTTCACCGTTTTTTCTTTCAATAAGTCAATGGCTTCTAACATGGCTTCCAAACTGAGAGGGAATGTCTCACTATTAGACACTGAAGTTTTACTGCTGGTCACGGAGGGAGAGCTTGATGCCAGAGGAGATCCAACTGGGGAGCTGTCCATGCTGTTGATTTGCGAGAGGCCAGATAGTGACAGAGAAGATCTACGTCTGTTGTGCAGCGACGGGGAGCTTACTGGTTCAGCTGTAGACTTGGGGGCAAGTACAGTTCGTGAGTACAGGTTCGCAAGTACAGGAGTGATAGGCATCTCAGTAAGAGGTGTAGATAAGGCGTTTCTTTCACGCAGGAAGCTGGAGCTGCAGGTCCTATAGGTCACTGATGTGCGTGCAGCAGTGATTGCATTGTCTTTGGGTATTTGGTGAGTGTACTTTTTCTGGAAATCAGTACCATGCATAACAAGAACTGAACCTTGGTCAAGTTTAATTGTGATGGCATTTCCAGAGTTCTTAGCCTCTCTGATGAGCATACAGCGTTGTTGTCCGAGTGACAGAGTAACAACAGGTTTTGAGAGGTCGACCTCTGGCTCATTATCGCTATGTTCTCCGCAAGAATCCCGACCTGTTCTGTACTGGTTGATCAGAAAGCAGTCAGAGGAACAATCGATGTTGTTGGGTTCAAAAAGATTTTCCACCATGTGCTGATATGCTGCAATAAGACGAGGACATTCTGACACTGAGTTGGCTTTCATCACGATTCCTGAGAATGCATAGTCAACAGGGCCGTACCATGATGACAGTCGTGGGAGATGCACTTGAGCCTGCTTGTGGATTGTGGTGTACTGTTTGAGGGCACCAGTGTTTTCGATTTCACAAGAGAACTGATCACACAATTGACTTGCGAAAACATCCTGGAAGAGACTGATACTGCAGCCAGAGTCAGGGTTGCTAAGCAAGTAGCGTCCAGGGGTTGTGATGGTAATAGGTCTTGTGAAGTCAATGACATTTCCAGCAGAAGGAGAGGAATTGTTTCTCGATCTGGTAGATCGAGGGTTGTCTTCAGTAATAGTTGTGTCTTGCATGAAGAGAAAATGGTAGGGAGCACATGATGAGATTGGGGCCAGGACACCATCGAACCAACCAACAGCCTGAAAGTAAGATGATGAGAGTAACACAGTTTTGACGTGAATGAGTGGTATCATGGGGAAAGATAGATTGATCAAGAAGAATAAACAGAGAGAATTTTCGAAAGCAAAAAACCTAAATATATGAGTGTATAGTGAGTATGTTGTAGTGATGTTTTGGGTGACTGGGAGGGAGGGGAAGAGGCAGGGGAGCGGGGTGGACTGCAGTGTCCCAAAGGGGAAGAATAGAGGTTATTTAATATGTCTATAGCAGGTTGGGCATGGGATAAGAGTACAATGTATAAAGGAAGGGGAGTGGAGGGTTAAGGGAAGGGTTGGGCTAGATAGGGTGTCTATAGCAAATTATTGATATAGAATATAGATACAAGTACACAATAAAATACCACAACACTACTATATAAAATACCTCTATTCAAGGATGTCCATGCAGTCCAGAGTACCCGCAACAGGTAGAGGGAGGGAGGGGCTGGGTTAGGGTGGGGCAGGGTAGTGAGAAGAGTGTAAGAGTGTTTGTGTCATGGTGATGGAGATACTGTGCAGATGTGACATGGATCTAAAGAGAACTCATCTTATTTTCAAGGCTGATAGCCAGTCTTCTGATGCCACTGGCCCCCAGAGCTCACATGCACCCCATTACCAAGTCGTTTACAGCTGCATATCTTGTTGCGGGTACTCTAGACTTCCATGGTACATCCTCAAACTCAAATTATTTGTTATATAGTAGTGTTGTATAGCTCATCTAAATGGGCCAAGTTGTGTAAAAATCTCAAATTTAATAAATAACATTTTCTAATTGATGTATAGCCAAGACGAGTTCGTTAGTGTTCTCCTTGGTAATTTCATGTTTAATTCCTCTTTAATTCCTCTTTAATTCCTCTTTAATTCCTCTTTAATTCCTCTTTAATTCCTCTTTAATTCCTCTTTAATTCCGTGTGTTATTGTCTGTCTCTCTTGACCCCACCTTAAAGAAACACCGGTTACTGCTAGTGTTAGTAATTTCACACAATGGGAGTCAAGAGGCCTATTTCATCAACCATCTAGTCTGTTAGCACTTGTTTTGGTCAACGGAACAACACAAGTGAAATATGATTCTTTGTTTCTGTTATCAGTGCTTGCTTTTACCTGAGGACCCCAGGCTATTATGTTCATTAATAGAGATTAGGCGGAATGACAGGCTGAGCGCGGCCCAGTTAGTGCGATTCTTTCAATTTTGCCTAGGTCTAACTTCCATATCAGTTCATATCGCCTTTGTGTGTTGTGCACTTGTGCCGTTCTTTTATGATATTCAACGATCATTCTGTGGTCTATAGTTCATAATTCGTTCTTTATCTATCCGTCTGCCAATCAAATGTTTTTGTAGTTTGTACAGTGTTGGTGGACAAGTTTTTAGCGTAGGTGTAAAATGATTTGAACGTTTAATATATCTGTTATTGCATCCGGATCACGTATACTTTCAACTTTTACTTTTATGACGAAGCCTCTTGTAGTGAAGGTTTGATCTCAGAGTCAACTAAACCATAAACAGTCTTCTAAGAATAATTAGTTAAAATATAGCTTCACTTATTTGTACTGGTTCCGGCTATCTCGTGTGTTTTAAGTTTCAAATCCCCGTGTTCTGTTCTCAGGAAGCTGCCGTTAAATATTTTGTCTCGGAATTTAATAAACTTCATCTTTCAGTCGTACAATCCACAATATATTTCGATAGTGATACTGACTCTGAGATATATGCTGAGAGCTCGCATTATTTCTTACTATCTAGTACCTGATTATATATTGATATTTACCTGGGATAGGACAGGCTTATGTGACCACTGACACAATTTATATCGTGTAATATCATAACTTTAGAAATCCTTGTATATCCCCTTGCCTGTTCTTTGTCACAAATTTTAGGCAAACAACTGTTTAATCCAAATTTATTGTTTCGAATTCGAATTTGCCACTCTTGCAACTCCTGTAACTCATAAATTTAATGAGGGACACCTGCCAATTTATCAATATCGATAAAAAAATATAACATTTGTTTGCTCGCATTATTTCTTAAGTTCTTTATCTTACTATCTCATGCCTGATTATAGACTTTGCCACCTAATAGTCCTGTTTTTTACACCTGTTGTTTTTGTACGGCGCCACCGTAAAGTTTTCCACCGTAGAGTCTTACGCCATAGATTCCCAGACCCACTTACATTCACCGTGTAGATCTCCTGTAAGACTAAGACTAAGAGTAAGAACATTTTAAACTCTGTTACCATTGAGACAGTTTCAAGTAGAACGAGTCACCGTGTAAAATAAACCGTACTATTATAGCTGATCATTGGCTGTTTATGACATAGAATACTATTCACCGACGTTTTTAGCAAACTGCGATTGTCATGACTACCTCAGTACCTCTCGATCCTCGTTATAATTAACATTATTATCTTGCTATACGTGGTGTTGGCTTTTATTTTCCGTTTCACTTTTGCAATTTCATCTATTTTGTCTTGGTCTAACTAGTGTGCTATCGTATCATGCTATCGTACCATGTTAGTTTACAATGCTTTTAGTCATTAGTGTCGCTCTTTTGTGATATTTAATGATCAATCTGCAGCACTTAGTTCTCTATTCATCCATCTGCGAAGAACATATTAGCTCACTTTTGATTATTTGAACCTTTGGTTATTGGTACATCTGTCAGTGTCAATGCAATCACGTCTACGATTTACTTTATAACGAAGCATCCTTCATCCTAGTTATCATAGACATTAGACATGGAGTAAATTAAACTGACTCTACTAACAATCAGGTAAAATATGACTTTACGTATTTGCACTGGTCCCAGTTATTTCGTGTGTTTTAAGTAGCACATCCCTGTTTTCTGTTCTCTGACCGATAGACTTAATAAATCAATGTGTGATTATTGTTTAAGAAAGTTGCCGGTAAATATCTTTTATCGGAAAGCCTGATCATTAAGTTGCACTATATATATAGATAGTGTTACTGATTCTGAGAAAGAATAAGGCATAGAGCTAGCATTATTTCTCATTACCTCATACCTGATTAGGTTGACATTCACCCGGGACCTTAGTCGTGCTCAATGCTCTTTGACACAATTTATATGGTGTCATGTCATGGTGTCATAGGATATTGGTAATTTCTTTATTGAAAGTCTCGCATTGTCGTCCTCATTTTGGCTTCATCTATCCATCTTAAACTGCCAAATATAAAATCATGGAGTTTAACATGCAATTGCGTACACACTTAAAAATTCTCGTTAATCCTCACATCTGTTCTTTTTCTCAAATTCTAGGCGAACAACTGTTTAATTCAAACTACTGTTCAATCGAAATCGAAATTTTAATTTCACATTCTTATTTGCCATTTCATGTTAGATATAATATAAGTAGCAGTGGACGATTTCCGTTACCTCAGCTCTGTAGTCTGTAATGTACTCTGCCAATTGCAACACTTGACTAAATTTATTTTATATAATTATACTGTTTGACACTTTTATATAATTTGCTATTTTAATTCTTGAAACTGTTGTAAATCTTGTTACTTTGTTACCCTTACGTATGCTATTTATGACAATCTTCTACGGTAAAATCGTTATTATCACTCCAAGCCTTACTTGGTAACACTGTCCAACCTTCTTCTTCATATTACTACAAAGCTGTCCTCAATAACATAATATAGTTTTCGTCAGTCTCACTCAGAACATTTTTCTCAGGTACACATTTGTTTACACTCATTCTCAATGTTTGGCCCTTAAATCTTCCCCTGTACATTCAACAAATATATCCCGAATAAGGTGTCCACTATATAGTTACATAATATTATGTTGTGATCAATGATCGCGTTGTTTATCGTGAGTTGGCACTTGATGAATGTATAGTAGTGGGCCAATCAGGTTTATCAGCGTCTTTATCAACGCACTGTTCATTATTATTCTACCCTGATTCCGGATTCGCTATATAAGGATTGAATGGAAAAAAGGCAACCGCCCTGTGTAAACTATTTGAGCTCAATTAAAATGTAATAGCGTGTACATGGTTAATACTTATAGAATGGTGACTGGTGAGTGTGATAGCTCCTTCCGCATAATATAAGATGAATCTGAATATTTCAAACTCTGGTTACCACGGAGACAGTCTCAAGTAGAACATACACGAGTTGCCGTGTCAAATTAACCATAATAATTCAGTACCATTATCATTAGCGGTTTATGACGTAGCTTATATCAGCAGCGATGTTTTTACTGCTAGCTTTATTGTTTTCAGTTGTCTCATTTATTTCAAAGGTACCGTACGCGTACCGGCCTTAACTTGTCTTTAACTATAAATTTAACGATATACGCAGTCATTTTAGATGTAACTGCACATGCTGCCATGCTGGTGAGAGTATAAAGATGTAACAAGCTTCGACGGTAAAATCGTTATAATCACTCTAAACCCAGCCCAACTTGGCTATACTGTCTAACCTTCTCCTTCATATTAATATATAACTGCGAAGCTGTCCTCAACAACATGATATAGTTTCCTCTGTCTCACTGAGAAATTTTTCTAGGTAAATTACATAGCCTTCCTTGCTATATGATATAATTTATCGTGAGTTGGTACTTTATACATGTATAGGGTGTAGTGGTCCAAAAGTCAGTGGGTATATGTTGGCCTCAATTGCTCCGCCGTGTTTTACATTTGAGAACTGTAGCTTTGCAGATGTAATGCCATATAACTGTTTTTACCATGGTAAATGGTTCGACGAGATTCCGTCGTCGAAATTTATGGTTTTGCATATTTGCACAGTGGAACTATCAGGTTTATTAAGTATCAACGTCTTTATCAACGCAGCTGCGCATAATTATTCTACTTAGTTTAACTCTCTTTCTATTTTAGCTGAATTCCATTCCCTCCCTCTTCGAGATGATTGCTTCCGTCAATTGCGAAGGACTCGCTCAAGGTAAGAAATTGACTCTCACGTATTTTTATAAGTTCAGATTAATCGTTTTAGCGATATAATATAATACTAAGACAAAAGTTCCGATTTTATGCGAATATTCAATTTATTTGTTTAGAGTTTGCCATGAATAAGTATTAAGTATTTGTTAATGTGGCGGCTAGAATAACTAGATTAGCCATCTTGAGCTATGATTTATCATGAAATACTTACAATTTCGACAGTTGCTTTTTAAACCTTAACTCGATAATTTTAGATAGAGAGATAATATTAAGACGAGCGGATCGATAAATCGAAGAATTAATTCATAAACTCGATTGTGTTTCATATAGTTTCATCTGCAAGATGGTAGACTTCTTCACTTCTCAGTTCTCAAAGCTCGACGATCTTCATATTATATTATACTTATAGGATAAAGGTTGTTATTTTATTTTTTAAATTAAGTACATTCATTTAACAATTCACTTTATTTGATAGCTTCTTTTGATTAACCCCTCCAAGCTCGATATTATATTTTATCATTAATATTATCTGCCATTTGTTCAATTAGTTACATTTCCAGGGTCAAATTACAGATAGTAATTGAGAGCGGCTTTAGAAATCAGGGAACGTGACCTATACATAGCATAGATTATCTCTTAATCAGGTAACATGTTAAATTGAGGGTAATTGTTACAATCTCTTAATGTGTACGGCAGATTATATCGTTAGTCATAACAAATATTTGTCCACCTACATGTTTACAATTGGCCCTTACTCACACATATAACCAATACTCCACACTTTCCTGTTACTGGCGACCCCAGGCTATAATTATCATTAACATAGACATTCGGTGAAATGAAAGGCTGGGCGCCACCCAGTCTGAGGGTTACTGTGCCCAGTAACTCCACCGTCTACACGTGCGCGCGGCTCTAACCGTGCTTCAATCGAAGCAATGCTAATTATAGTGGTTACACTCACAGTCACACACACACACACAGAATAGTAAACCTAAGAGTTCATGAATCCGATATTTTGGAACAGTAAGACAGAATTGAGACAAATTTGGAACAGGCTTTTGGGGCAGTAGTTATGCCTGGACTGACTTAAAATTGATCTGGTATAAGGGGCATGGGAACTAACATGTTCAGTCACTGATCAGAAGTGCCAAATGATCCCCTGGTTCATGAAATGAACGAAATGAACAAAAATGAACTTTCCATAAAATCGCCTGAAATGAGTTGAAATCAATCAGAATCGATTGGTATTGATACTAGGAGTATTCCTGAAAAGTTTGGAGGCTCTAGCATGCTCAGAAAGGGCTCTAAGGGCAATGTCCCATTTTGGTTTCAGAGTAGTTGAGATTTTGGAACTGGATTGAGACAAATTTGGAACAGGCTTTTGGGCAGTAGTTATGCCTGGACTGACTTAAAATTGATCTGTTATGGTAGAGGGGCAATGGGCATGTGAACTAACATGTTCAGTCTCTCAGAAGTGCCAAATAATCCCTTGGTTCATGAAATGAACGAAATGAATAAAAATGAACTTGATCCTAAAATCGTTGTAATCACTCTAACATCTAAACCCAGCCCAACTTGGCAACACTGTCCAACCTTCTCCTTCATATATGATATAATTGCATAATTCTCCTTAGTAACCCGTCCCCGTCGCCATAGTTACAGACGTAAACAGGACATGAGTGGAATATCGTTCATAAAAGGCTATAAGCAAGCATACTAACTAATCCGCTTTACCAAGGTGTGTCATATAATGTACATACAATTATTTACACGCAATATTTGGCGCTTAAATCTGCCCCGTACATTCAACAACTATATTCCGGGCGAATAAGGTGTCCACTTCATAGTTAAATATTGTGATCATTTAGTCGCGTTGTTTATCGTGAGTTGGTACTTGATGAATGTATATAATAAGGGCGGGCCAAACATCAGTTGGTATACGTTGGCCTCAATAGCTCCGCCGTGTTTTACATTTTACTGTAGCTTTGCAGATGGCATATAACTGTATTTACTATGGTTCGACGAGATTCCGTCGTCAAAATGTATGTTTTTGCATATTTGTACAGTGGAACAATCAGGTTTATCAACTATCAACGTCTTTATCAACGCATTATTATTCTACTCAGTTTAACCCTCTTTCTATTTCAGCTGAATTCTGTTCAACGAGTACAGTAGACACAAGACAACCTCAAGAAAGCTTCTAGACTACTCCGCTTACTGTCACAACACTATGTAAGTTCATAATTTTACGAATTTAAGAATTATAACACATTTCTTTCTTATTTAAATACCTGAACCTTTTTCTATTGAAATCTTCTATATTAATCAATTGTATTATATTTATATAATATACAGTGCAGTATACACTATACATTACACAAATATGTTAACTCAAGGTAGTAATCAAGTTTTAATTTATGGACCGAACTGAAAATGTATCAAAGGTAAACAAAGGATCCATACCCCTGTTGCCAGAAATAGACTTTAATAACACTGTAAAAAACGTACTGTGCAGAATTTGGGCTCAACGTATTTGAGCATACAAGATTTAATATATTATTTGAACTTAATCTAAAATCCTCAATCTAAATAGTTTCTCCAAAATGTCTTATTTAATTAATTACCATTAAGTAAGTATACATTCAATTTGAACATATGATTTATAATATATCCAAACAAATGTGTAATTCACCGGTTGACTCATGATTAGGTCTCCGCTATTTTGCGATAAACGAAAATTGAGACGAGGTTACTTAAAATATATCGTTAGTTATAACTAGTATGTCCCTCTTCACCCTGTCACTCAGTCCTGGCACGATTCCTTCAATATCTTCCAAATTAAAAATATGTCCGCATTCATTTGTGAGAAGTTTAATGACTCCTTCCGTGAGTTCACAGTCCAGAAAGGGTCTGTTGTCACTATAGGACGTCAGCTGGCATGCTAACGCTTTTGCAAAGAACTCCCTATCTTCTTTCGTCACTGTGCGTCTAGGTTCTGGAAATATTATGACTGATATTGCTGATTCTTCACCACTCGCAGGAGCACAAAGTTAAATTGTTGTTGTTGTTATCATTACTTTTCGATAAAAGCAAAAAAGCACAGTTTAGGCATGAACGTTACAAATATTACATGTGATTTAAAACATTCGGTACTAAGTACTCAGTACTCACGCATGTCTACATCCGACCTCCTCTGCTTGTTATTCCGTTCCCGGAGTCTTTGAATGAGTGGGTCTTGGGAAGGTCTGCAAACATCGCAGCAAGTATCGTTATAAACGTTGTCATGCAGCTTGAGTACCCCTGATGACATTTATGTCATCGCATTGAAATGGCTAAAATTTGTGATTTCAAATGCCGTTGGAGAACTTAAAGTATTTGCCAACTAATAAAGGATATTGAATTACTTTTTCAATTGTAGGACTACGTGGAGCTGTTTTACCTTTAAAGGTACCAGAAAGTATTATCCTACGGCAAGTTCCATTCTGGTCGCGGTACATAAGACACTCTCCGTCCATATCCCTGGTCTTGTTGTGCGTAAATACAATACATATCGCCTTTAGATTTGCACTTCTCCCAGCCCGACCTGAGATTAAAAAGCAACGTTTAAGACAATTAAGCTCGTTAAACCTTTAATAGAGGTATATGTGCAGAGCGCTCTATAAAATTATTACAAATAACTTAATTGTTTCACATTACCCACCAATCATCTGGATGAAATCCTCTGCCGTACGAGCCATTTTCGAATGGATGACGTATTGGATCCCTAAAGAATATACATTTTTATCAAATTTACTATTAACCGTGTTTAACACAGAGAATCCATTTGTTTGAAATAGACTGTTTAAAGGTGTTTAAAATAGTCTTCGATATACTTGGTGCCAAACATAGTACATACCTGCTGCATCAAATCCCATAGATAAGGCACTTGTAGCTATGACGAATTTGATACGCCCATTGATATTCATTAGATCAGCCGCTATTTCTTCCTGTTTACTGTCTGGTATCTGGGAGTGAAATACTTCAACAAGACTAATTTTCCTCGGATCCTTTTTGAGTGCCTGAAATTAAGAAAATGTCACTGGTAATTGGTAAATAATGAGTTCCGTACACAGTTAACTTTAGTTAAGTCGGTAGATGGTTTAAATGCTGATAACCCGGCACAAAAAGAAATTTTTAAACAACAGTTTAACAAGTTTAAGTATGAACAAGTTAAATGGTTATGTCAGTCTTCAATATTTTATATCCCATATAAGCTAAACATGTGGCCATAAAATGAATTATTTAAGTATGTGCACAATCAATCATATTAATTGTATATATGCTGGCAAATAACCATTTTTACCTGCATGAATTCTAAATATCTATATCCGCAGTCAACCAACGAGTTTTCGAAGATTATCACCCTGGGACACTCTTCTGCTTCATTCTCAAGTAAGGACACCAGTGGTACTATGTCTAGCTTTCCCGGGATATTAATTAAAGAAATCCTGCTATTAACAGGATTTTGCGAGATTCTCATCAACTGATGCAACATTACAGAAAGTGTCACATATGCTCTAGTTCTTTCTAAATGTTAAAGCAGAGAAATCTGGCTATATAATATATTTATCAAATAAATGTGGGGGGGGGTCCAACCCGATGTCCGATATGAGGGTTGATGAGGCCAAAATCGGAATCGGAAAAATCGGAAAAATCGGAAAATTGAGAAATTTTAGAGAATCGATCTCTAAAACCTCTCAGAAGTGATATAATTCAACCAGAACCCCTACATATGCTATATTGTTATGAGAAAACGAACTAATTGGACATTCCAATAGTATGTTTTATGTGTTTTTCCACTGCAGGGGCTAGTATGCTCACTACTAGTTGGAGTTGTCATGTACTCCCAGACCCGAGTGCTTTGGCCTCTTGACGTGAGATCGATTGTTTCTGCTCATTAATTTTATTCCTGTTACTTGTTATTATGTATTAGTACAACACTAGGTACCGGGTTATATTTTGTGGTCCGGTCTTTAAACATACCATAATATCACTAGTACACTGCACCTTAAATGTATAGTCAAGTACATTTGTATCGTAACACATGCTTGGCTGGGGGATCATGTTTTGTGTCCGTTCGGTACCCTGTATTTTCAAAACGGACAAAAAGTAGGGCGGACAAAAACGGACAAAAACAGACAAAACATTTAGATGTCCTCCTCCTCCTCCTCCTAAGTCTTCCTCCTCCTGAGTCCTTCTCCTCCTCAGTCCTCTTCAGTCCTCTTCCTGACTCCTCGTCCTCGTCCTTCTCCTCAGTCCTCCTCACCTTCCTCCTCAATCCCCTTCTCCTCCTCAGTCCTACTCCCAGTCCTCCTCCTTCTCCTTCTCCTTCTCCTTCTTCTTCTCCTCCTCCTCATCCTCATTTCTCCTCCTGATCCTCCTTCTCCTTCTCCTTCTTCTTCTCCTCCTCCTCATCCTCATTTCTCCTCCTGATCCTCCTTCTCCTCCCCATCAGTCCTCCTCAGTCCTCCTCATAGTCGTCGTCCTCCTCCTGAGTCCTTCTCATCCTCCTCCACCTCCTGAGTCCACCTCCTGAGTCCTCCTCCTGAGTCCTCATCCTCCTCCTCAGTCATCATCCTCATCATCCTCCTCTTCAGTCTTCCTCCTGAGTCCTCCTCCTCGTCCTCCTCCACCTCCTCATTCCCCTCCTTATCCTCCTCCTCTTCAGTCCTCCTCATCCTCCTCCTCGTTCTCCTCCTTATCCTCCTCCTCCTCAGTCCTCCTCCTCATCCTCCTCCTCCTTCTCCTCTTCCTTCTCCTCCTAATCAGTCCTCCTCCTCAGTCGTCCTCCTCCTCTTCATTAGCCCTTGTCCTCATCCTCCTAGTCCTCGTCCTTAGTCCTCGTCCACATCCTCCTCAGTCTTCCTCCTCAGTCCTCCTCGTCCTCATCAGTCTCATCCTCCTCATCCTCCTCCCCAATTTCTAGGAGTGACCTTGGACAGCAAACTCAACTTCAATGAACATATCATCAACACCACCAAAAAAGCCACGGCATCCCTCATGCAATGTCGAAGAGCTGTCGGCCCCACATGGGGTATGAGCCCCAAAACATGCAAATGGATGTACACGGCTGTCATCCGTCCAATCCTATCCTACTGCTGTAGTATATGGATCAGGGCCACTCAAACGGACTATAACGCGAAGAAACTCAAACGTGTTCAGGCATTGGCACTCACAATGATGTCTGGTGCCATGCCAAGCACACCTTTTATCGCATTGAATCACCTCACCGACACTTCTGACATCATACTGTTCCTGCAAGGCGAAGCAGCAAAGGGTGCGGCCAGGCTACAAGCTTATGGCAGCCTCACTCTTGAAACTATCGCCTTCAGGAAGGGAACTATCAAAAATCATACCACTATCAACAAACAATTCATGGCAGACCTCATTATCCCACCTAGAGCAACGAGAGACCTAACAACACCAACCATGATGCTGGGACGGCACTTCACCGTCACAACTCCTGGAGCCGATACCACTGAATATAGGAATTCACTTCAAAACACCATTGACAACATTACCAGTGAAACGATCACCTGCTACACTGACGGGTCACTCACAGACTCAGGATGCGGGGCTGGCTATATCATCACAACTGACAACAATAACACCACCCTTGAAGAAAGATCATTCAAGCTCCCTGATTATTGCACTGTTTACCAAACAGAGCTCTCCGCCATCATTGAAGCTTGCAAATATCTCTCTACCTATACCAACACACATATCATCATATGGTCTGACAGTCTCTCATCTATACAAGCTATCTCTGCGCTTTCAACGCGGAGTATAACTACAAGAGACTGTTACGACTCTCTTAATGCACTCGGAACCAACAACACGCTAGAGATACGATGGATTGCAGCACACATCGGATTGTGGGGGAACGAAAAAGCAGATGAGCTGGCCAAGCTTGGTACAACCAGTGAATCCACTTTGAAGTGTCCAATTCCACAATCCTACATCAAGCGTCAAATCGACAACAAAGTCAATAGACTGAATCAGGAAACTTGGTTAACTGACGGTCCCAGACACACCAAACTGACACTCGGCCACAAGCATGCCAAAATCATCAAAAACCTCAACACTACACTCAGCAAAAACAGACAAGATTACAGAACTGCAGTTCACCTCATCACGGGTCACTGCGGCTTAAACAAACACCTTCACACCATTTGCAAATCAAACACCAGTGCTTGTCCTATGTGCGGCGACGGAGAGGAAACTGTCTCACACTTCCTTGGACAGTGTCCAGCAATTGCCCAAATTAGAGGTCAATATTTCCAGGACTACTACCTCTCTGTCAATGACATATTCGACAACCAACACATCACCACAATTGTCAATTTCGCAAACCGCACCAAACGCTTAATTGTGCCGGAAGAGCTGGATCAGACCGGGGTGACTTAAAGTATTATCTCATATGCTGTCTCGTCTCGTTTTACTTTTCCAAACCCAGCTGGCATTTAAGCGTATCATTTTGACTCATATATCATCTTACACCATCCTCCACCAATCACTCTGATTTCACCGGCAACCTTCCCCAAGGTTGCCACACCCCAGAGGTAGGCAGAGCATCTCAATGCTATCCTCTCGTGGGCTATCTTGGCCCAGCCTCTCTTAAAAAAAAAAAAAAATCCTCCTCCCCAAGGCCCAAGTCCTCCTCTTCCTCAGTCCTCCCCCAGTCCTCCTTCTCATCCTCCTCATCCTCTTCAGTCCTCATCTTGTTCCTCCTCAGTCCTCCTCTTCCTCCTACTCGTCAGTCCTCCTCCGCAGTCCTTCTCCTCAGTCCTCCTCCTCCGCAGTCCTTCTCCTCCTCGTCAGTCTTCCTCCTCACCAGTCCTCCTTCTCCTTCTTCTCCTCCTACTCCTAAGTCCTCCTCCTCCTCCTCCTCAGTCCTCCTCCTCCCTCTCATCCTTTTCCTCCTTCTCCTCCTTCTCCTCCTACTCCTAAGTCATCCTCCTGCTCCTCAGTCCTCCCCCAGTCCTCCTCCTCATCAGTCCTTCCCCAGTCCTCCTTCTCCTCCTCCTCATCCTCAGTCCTCCTCCTCATCATCCTCCTCAGTCCTCCTCCTCCTCAGTCCTCCCTAAGTCCTCCTCTTCCTCAGTCCTCCCCAGTCCTCCTTCTCCTCCTCATCCCCTCAGTCCTCCTCCTCAGTCCTCCTCGTCCTTAGTCCTCCCCCAGTCCTCCTTCTCCTCATCCTCAGTCCTCCTCCTCAGTCCTCGTCCTTCTCCTTTTTAACAGTCCTCCTCCTCAGTCTTCCTCCTCGTCCTCGCTCTCGTCCTCCTCCTTCTCCTCCTTCTCGTCTTCCTCCACCAATCCTGCTCCTCTTCCTCAGTCCTCCCTCTCCTCTTCAGTCCTCTTCCTCCTCAGTCCTTCTCGGTCCTCCTCTTTCTCCTCAGTCTTCCTCCTTCTCCTCCTCCTCCTCAGTTCTCTTCCTCATCCTCCTCCTTCTTCTCTTCCTTCTCCTCCTAATCAGTCCTCCTCCTAATCAGTCCTCCTCCTCAGTCGTCCTCCTCCTCGTCCTTAGTCCTCGTCCTCATCGTCCTTAGTCCTCGTCCTCATCCTCCTAGTCCTCGTCCTTAGTCCTCGTCCTCATCCTCCTAGTGCTCGTCCTGGTCCTCCTCAGTCTTCCTCCTCTGTCCTCCTCAGTCCTCCTTCTCCTCAGTCCTCCTCCTCCTCATCAGTTTACACAATTTATTGTTACTAAAATGTTTTTAAACGCATTTGAGTCTGTAACATATTGACATGTTACTGTTACTGACTCAAAATGTGCTCGAGAATTTTTTTGTTTAATAGAGTTTTACTCTCCAGTACTATGGAAAAGTTGTTACATGATAAATAAAGATTTTGATAAATAAAGTGATTTTCATCCCTTTTAATGTTATTGAAAATTGTGTAGACTATTCTTTGTATCTAACTGAGGATTGGAAGTTTGAGAAAGGACCAGTCATTAACCGTGCTACCCATTTCTGCAGATAGCCTGTTACAAATTGTGGAGACAAATTGTGGAGACAATTTAAATCAAAAGTTACTAAAGCGTTCGCTATTTGTTACGATTGTTATTACCAACCGTACCTCTTTCAATTGTGGACCGGGGTGGATGTTTCTGTCAAACAAGAGTTGATTCGACATTGTGTTGTTTTTCGGACGAAACGATTCTTGTTTGGAACAAGATACCATTTTGGAGTTCTGGGACCACCACCAATCGATTTCTTGTCATATTTGAGTACAGTAATAGCTACCTATATCGCCTAGAAACCTCAGAGGGAAGATTTAAATTTTCCCGATTTTTCCGATATGAGGGTTGATGAGGCCAAAATCGGGATCGGAATGATCGGAATTGATCGGGTTGGACCCCCCCCAATGTGTAATAACAACAGATGTATACAATTACTGCAATTCTAAAAAATTTAAGTTTACATTAATGTGCTGATACGATACACTCCAAAATATTCCTAATTTTGTGTTGTTATCATAATCCCATTCCGCAGGGCACAACACCACAACTTCAGAAGATGCAAGGAGCGTGTTCTTAACTCTCCAAAACGAAGGTTGGTGAACAATAGAAAAATTGATATTTTGTTGGTTGGCGTTATCATGGTGAGAAACCAGGGGTATTACGAGATATTATAACGTCCCGAAGGTCATTTTAATTGTAATATTTATCCAATCTAGTACAATAATGTAGACCAAGGAATACCGATAGGGCAGCTAAGTAATTAAGTTTTCAAACTGGGGCGTTTTGAACATTATAGTACCTAACCACAAATGTTTAAAACTTCCGAGAATGGGCAGTATCGAGATAGCCCGACCACTGTCCGCGGACAGTTGTCCGCAGACTGTATAATAACAGTATCCCCTGAATCAAGCAAACAGGTGTTTGCGAATAGTTCAAAATAGATTCAAATGTGGTCTCTCGGATATAATTAGTTACTAATAATATTGATTGCTCAATGAAATAAATGATTACGATTAAAATGTGGTATATAAGTCGTTCGTTTTTGGTGAAGTATTATCAGTTGCCATCATCAACAACAACAACTATTCCAATTCCTGACATGGTACTCTTCTGTCTAATGGACGAAATTAATGGATACACCGCCTCCCTCGAGACTTCCTATTCCAGAAAAACCTACTAAAGAGCTCCATGTCCTGTTCTGGGTGTAATGCATCTATGTCCCTGGTTCCCTCCTCGTCCTCGAAGTCTCCAGATGGACTGATATGGCGCTGCTCCCCCTGCAAGAAGTACAAGAATATCAGAACAGACAGCATCCTCTCTGGACAGAAGCTCGCTCTCAAGACCTTCATACAACTGCTGTTCGCAGAGTAGGGCTGAGTTCATCCGTTTCGTTTTCTCTGAGACCATAGTTGTAGTTGTTCAAGAAGGAGTTGATTATAGAAATGATTGATGCAGTCTGATAATAGTTATTCTTTATATATTGCATGATGTGAACTGATCTCGTAAGGTTGCTTAATCGTTTAATAAGCCTTGACACCACCGCTGATTGAAATTCGCGTGCGATGATGTGAACCCTGCTTGACTCAGGGGATGATGTGAACCCTGCTTGATTCAATGATTCAGGGGATGATGTGAACCCTGCTTGATTCAGGGGATACTGTTATTATACAGTAATATGATCTGGTAGACAGGTGTCTGCGGACAACTGACCGCGGACAGTTGTCCGCGGACAGTGGTCGGGCTATCTCGATACTGCCCGAGAATGTTGGGTTAATACAGTGGGTGCTTAATATGTTTACGGCATGTCTAAATAAGAGAGTTTGAATGCACGTCACGTGATATAGTTAACAGTCAGTGTAATTACGAGTCAGGGAATGTGTCTAGCTATACAGGGCCCTTTGGTGTATTTGTAATAAATTTTTAGTGACGTGACACCTCTTAGTAATAAGTAGTGACGATTAACGGGACAAATTATGGTTAATTTTCTAAAAAACTAGCAAATATGTCACCTTTAGATAAAAAAAGGACCCACGCTCAAACATTTTTCGAGGTACGTTAAGCGCGCGCACCGCAGTTCCTTTTAATATGATTATGACGTATCGTCTCGGTTTAACAATCATAACGTGATCACGTACTGTACGTGACCTATAATCTTACTTATTTAGTGAACAAAGAGTGTGAGAGAGTGTGAAAGTAAAAGTACTATACTATACTGCGAAACGGACAAATTGGTTTAGTCAATAAACTGGGATGAACCGCTTTTTTGTGTTACGCCTTACGGTCAGATAAATAAACTACTGTATTCTGGTCCCAATAGTTTACTGTGACTTTTGAGTTGAAGATTAGGCGTACATCATAATGTCCCTAGTGTTTTGTTTAGCTCACCAAGGTTTAAGGACTATTTGAAAGTGAGGGATTTTACTAAGAAGAAGCAAACATCGACCAATAGCTCTTGTTAATGCTATTTGTTTGTTTAAAAGGCGAAATGTGGGATTCTATTCGCTTTAAATCCGGTTCCATAATGATACTTGACTTAGTGCGGCTTTGATGTCCGAGCAAAGCTATTATAAATTAAACCTTAGTTTGTTAAAGTTGGCGGTTTTTCAAGAATCTCCGCCATACTGTCCATATCTCAGTTCTCGATAGGCGTAGAATCGTATCATACTGATAACTGATGTTGTGAGCAAAAACAACATAACCCCTCCCGCCTTGAGCCTTCCTGCTCGATATTATAATATTATATAAATTAGTGCTATCCCCAGATGGGTTTAAAGCTAATGGTGCTACTAATAGTTTTGCCTTTGGTATTTGAGACGGGTTTTGAGAAAATCTCTCTAAACAGGCATATTTACATGTTAGTGTGTTACTGAAATCTGTAATCTTTTCGGCAAATGCCAGCTACTGTAATAAACCAGAATTATAGCATATATTCTAAGATGACACTTATACGCAGCTCTGAACATCATACATTCTATTCAACTGTAATTATAGTGTTTAGAATTTGTATAATGTACTGGCACGTCTGCCAGCTTTATTCTGACACAATAGATATAAATCACTCTACACGACACCGGAACTTCGATATGTTCCTAAGTTATAAGTTACGTGAATTTTCAAGTGCATACGGTAAAGTGATCTTTCCTTCAGTTACGCAATTAAATAACTATTCGAAAACTGAAAGACTAGTTGTTCCCCTTGAAGATGTATGTACAGTAAAGCTTTGAACCCCGGCCCAAATTAATATCGCCTCAATCGAAAGTTGCTGGTAACAACTTATAAGTCAGTCTGATATTTCAGTCTCGGTGTAATTTTGTGTCGCCAAGCAAGGATAAATATACAGGGGGGAGGGGGGCAAAAGTCCTAATAGCTCAGTCACTGAGTGCCCAATCGAAATAATTCAATCGCATTACATTTGTCCTGAAAAAAAATGAGAATTCTGGTTTCTCATATGACCGAGATATAATACTATAATATCTTCGCCACAGTATGCCATCTGCAAAGCAACAACCCTCTAAAATAAGACACGACGTTGGTATAAGACCCAACTTATGCCCACTGACCAGAGCTGGTCCAGATTCCAGAACTCAGAAGTCGATGGTAACCCTCCTGTTATGAGAGGGGGGGGGGCAACGTAGAATTCTACTCTACTTTATTCTACTTTATTCTACGTTCACCCCCCCCCCCCCCCCCCCCCCCCCCCCCCCCCCTATGAGAATATTATCTAGCTGCTGTACGCTGCTTAGGATTTGTTTTTGTTCAGGGGCAGGCTTGTCACATAGGTCCAGGGCTTCCGGACTTTTGGGCATGGTGCAGGTTGTGGTACACACTCAACTAGGTGGTCTGAGAGTCGGAAAATCTCCAAAAAGAGATGTCATCAGAATGTAAGCCACTACCTGACTAACCTGTGAATAGAGTTTTCTAGACTCAATAATCATGGCAGGTAGTATCTTCGGTGCGTTGCTGAGATACCGATTTAGTGAGTAGTAGGATGGTCATCAAATCAGAAAAGGCAGACCTGAGTTGATAGCACGGTACTTGTAACGGTTTCCTCATTCTGCTCTCAGACTGACTAATGTCTCCACTTTTTTATCTCCTGTTAAGATTATCATTTCTCCGCTGTTAGGATTGTTCAATTATGCTTTTTATTTTGGACACACCATTGAGCCAGATTGTCGCAGCGTATGTCAGAGAAGTTCTGAGTATAAATATTATATAGGCTTATTCTGTCACAAACAATGAATTATTAATCTCATTTGCCCTATCCCCAAGTTCTGATAAGTCTACAAAGAAGATCAGTAAAAAATAACTGGGATATCATTACAGTTATTAAAGTTCCGATCGATGCTATTAGCCCAAATGAATGGGTTTTTATATAGATTCTAAACGAACACTTATTCTTTCAGGAGGGGATCTGCAATAAACAAAGACGATATATTTTTGGCCAGAAATTTGCGGAGTTCCTTCGTCTTGTATTGATATCGGTCTTGGCTGCAGTTGTATCTCTCGAAATCAGGTATTCACTATTAAAAGCTATCCTGCCTGGCTTAAATCCTGGTTGTTAAAATTAAAAGCCTTTTTGCATGGTCATCTTTAATTAAAAATAAATCAGCTTTGTTAATAATTTACTGACCTCCTGGGGAGATCTCGATCTGCAGAACATTGTCCTTCCTGATATCCCTACTTGCAACAGGAACGGAAGACCTTCTATCCTTCATTACTCAAATCCGTCAACTCAACAACCAGCCCAGGAGAATAAAAGGAATTACTAGAGCTTAACTTATCCATGGAGAAAGCATAGAGATGAAGGAAGGATGCGTCTTCCAGATACAAAGACCTGGAGCTGACCACCATGTCAGATGGATGGCTAAGTCCATATACATTATGAAAATGATTCTACTTCACTAGATACCACTTCACTGGACGAAGAAGAGAGACGTGCAGAAGATGGCTCACGTTGTTGTCTTCGTTTACTTAAGAGCTTGGTTCAACGCTCCTTTCCTTGAATCTGCAGCCTCCGCCGACACCCGTTTGTTACAGAGTCTTCAGAAGTACAAGAGTGTGGACAGAGTACTGAGTATTAGCCATAATCACGACAGTCCTCAAGACATACCTTTAGAGCGAAGAACTCTCCTTGCAGCAAGAATAGGCCAACAAACTCTTGAAGCAATTCAAGTTGGAACTTGAAAACTTGTGTTCGGTTGTTAATGTTATTGAGCTTTATGAACGTCAAATAAGCCTAATTGATGAAAAATTATTCTGATATGTTTTGGTTTTATGACCAGGGGTTATGACAAATATATAATAAGGATGTTGGTCTAGTTTCTCGTACGGGTTTTCAACATACGCTTTAGTCCTACACTCTAGTTTGGGGTTGGATTTTAAATAGTCACTTGAAGTACGTGTTAAAGTATCCTACGTGTTGGTCGAGTGTTGAGTGATTAAACATCTTGATCGCATGTTTATTGTTTACTGTTTAGTGTAGACCTTGTTCAGTAGAAACTCAGTACGGTGGTCCGCGGTAAATTTCATTCTTTATTATACGAAAATGCATGACCTGCATGAGGTATGTTACCTGGGGACCCCAGACTATAATGTTCCGCCGAATAGAGATTCGGCGGAATGACAGACTAAGCGCCGCCCAGTAAGAGGTATGATAATACTGGGTTTCGAAATCTTTTAAATATCTATTCGATTGAGTCTTATTACCTGAGGACCCCGTTTTAAATTATCATAAACGTATCAATTGAATATATTTACTAAAACTCAAGTCTCATATTAAAGTATTAATATGACAACTGTGTTTAAGAACACAAAGCCCGGGGTCCCCGGGTAAATTTAAAGCTAGGAATCATTATATTTATAAGTGAATTGTGTATTTGGTACTGGCCATAGCACTCCCGTCAATCTATTTGTCATGTCAATAGTTTACTGTTTACGAATGAGTCCATCATGTACTGTTCTCTTTGATGTATGTAATAATAATAATAGGATTATGGCCACATAGCCATCTCGACAAAACTTAAAACCCAACTGCACTCTACGCTATTGCAGTTCGCACAATATTTTCAAAAAGAAAAATGTTCCTATCCGGAACATGTAATGATTAATTATTTTAAGGACGTTAACATGTAGTTCTGAATTTAACAATCAAGATACATTGATTCCTCGGTATTTAGCAATCAATGGGTTATTAGACATGAAATATGCATATGAATCATGCTCACATGTATTTATTTTTGACATCAAGGTTTCGCTGAGATCCCAGAAGTGACCCTTTGACGATGCTCCACTCGCTATCAGTTCATTTTTATAACATTGAAGTCGAGCTTTGAATGCGTCTACTGAACTGGCTTCTTTAACCGAACTTGGTACTTTGTTCCAGTAATTGGCAACCCGGTTACTGAGGACCTGATTTCCTCTTTTATCTTTTAGGATCTTGGTACCACTACGTGATATCCTGAAAGATCTTGTCCATAGTCCACTTTACCCGTCGTTATTTTAAAGGTTTCAATAAGATCACCCCTCATACGGCGCTCCAGTAGTGTTGTTAACTGGAGGATTCTCAGTCTCTCATCGTATGGTAGGATACCAATCCCGTCGATTATTCGTGTAAATTCTCTCTGAACATCTTCTATCTTCTTAATAGTCCTCCAGTTTCCGTGCTCTGCTGGTAGATTCCACACTTGCACAGCGTATTCGATGTGAGGTCGAACTAGAGTTCGGTAGACATTTAGCATAACAAATTTGTTACGGCAGATCAAGCTTCGTTTGATCCAGCCTATAACAGACTTTGCTTTTTTCACGGACTTATCTATATGGTCACTCCAGTCCAGGTTTCTGGTAGTTAGAACTCCAAGATCCTTTTCTGACTTCACTTGGGGGAGGCATTCCCCATTCATGAAGTACTCATGATTGGATTGTTACGCCCAATATGTAGTACCTTACACTTGCCATCCTTCACATTGAATCTTAGGAGCCATTCCTTCTCCCACGCATTGAGTTTCAGTATATCATCTTGTGCAACACTGTGCTTAGCTGTGCTCGTTACTAGCTTAAGATCGTCAGCAAAGAGTGATACGAAGCTCTCAATTCCATCAGGGAGATCATTTATGAAGAGCAGGAAGAGCAGGGGGCCCAGCACGGTTCCTTGAGGGACCCCAGATGTTACAGCAAAGACTCTAGAAAATGATGATCCAACCCTGACGCGAAATGTTCTTCCTGTTAGAAAGTCTTCCACGACTGCAAGGGTGTTGCCAGATATTCCAAAGGATTGCAATTTTCTCAGCAATCGTTTGTGTGGTACAGAATCGAAAGCCTTCTGAAAATCGAGATACAGTATATCAGCTGACCCGTCCTTCTCTAGTATCTCACTGACAATGTCCATACATTCCAGGAGGTTCGAGACGCAGGATCTTTTTGGTAGGAAACCGTGTTGTTCATTCACAATCATGGGGGATACGTGAGCTAGAATATGGTTTCTTAAAAACCTCTCAAAGATCTTGGAAAGAACACACGTTAGGCTAATAGGGCGATAGTTGCTGGCTTGGGATTTATCCCCCTTTTTATGCAATGCAGTGACATTTGCTTGCTTCCAGATTTCGGGAATCTTTCCGTCGTTGTAGCATTTTTGGAACAGTGCTGTGACTGAATCAGCAAACTGTTTGTTTTCGGCTAGTGTTTTCAAAAGCTTAGGGTGTATATCATCAGGTCCAACGGATTTCCAGATGTTAACTTTACGAAGTTGATCTTGAACTTCACTTGTATTGAATTTCAGGTCAGGAATCGTCTCCTTTGCGCTGTCTCCGGGTAGTGGGTCAGGTATTGAGGCCTGATCCTCCTTTACAAACGTGCTCTCAAAGAAAATCCCAAGTTGGTTAGCCATATCATGTGCTGAGTGGAGTTCATCCCCACTAGCATCTCTGATTCCAGATATTGCAGCCCTAATCTTGCGCTTGGAGTTCATATAGCTGTAGAAAGCTTTTGGATTTATTTTTAGCTGGGCTGCTGCTTTATTCTCATAGCATATCATGAGCTGCTGTTGCTTCTTCTCGTAAGCACCCTGCTGATGTAGTGCATGATTCAGGTTTTTTGATGTCGGGTCGCTTTCAAAAATAGACCACAGTTTTTCTTTTAGCGTCCGTGCCTTGATTAGACATGGTTTGTCCCAGACCGATCGTGATTTTATTGCACCTGCACGATTTATCCTCAATTTGACGACTGGAACAGCTTCAGCAATGGTGTTGGCATTGGCCTGAATCAGATTCCAGTGCTCTTCAATAGTCAAGTCATGATTAGCACTCCATTGCAGCGGCCCTGCTGTATCAATGATTAGGTCTTTGTTTGCTTTTGACCAATTCTTCTTCTGTTGAGTCACATATTCATCATGGTTAGCAATTGACCACTTACTGATAATTCCCACATGGTCTGATTTTCCCAGCGGTGCGGTTATTTGAACTTCCTGAAATATGGCGGGGTCCGAAGTCATAACATTGTCAAGAGTTGACGATTGCACTGTTGTTAAAACCTTCCTTCTGCGAGTTTTAACATCGTCTCCGATAACCCAACTGAGATCATGTTTTACGAAAAAATCAAGATAACACTGTTGAATCAGGAATTTTTGATTAATTGAATTATTCGGACATTTAACTACACCTAAATCCCACACAACATCAGGAAGATTGAAATCTCCCATCATGATCAGTTCGGTATTAGGGGCTAGATTTTCAATCGCTACGGACAGATTAGATAACATAGATTGACACTTATCGATTGTTAATGAAGGGGATCGGTATATAACAAATAACGCAATATCAATACAATCAGAATTTAGCATGACACATATGCAATCAGGTACATTTATTGTTACATTGTGAGATTGGATAGAATCATGCACATATATACAAGAACCACCACCTTTCCCCGTTAATCGATCTACTCTATACAGCCTAAAGTTCGCTAATGCTACCTCTGCATCATACACATCTGCACTGAACATTGTTTCTGTAATTCCCAAAACCTTGCAGTCGCTGGATTCGGCTACAATTTGCAGTTCACTGATTTTATTCTTCAAGTCATTTGCATTTGAATAAAAAACTTTCAGAAAATGACTAGCATTGTTTCTTAGTTTAGAGTTATAACTAGAGACAGCTAACCGGTCGCAACGTTGTCGGAGTTTTCCGATTCCGTACCACCTGTCAATAGTCCCTTGAAATCACTGTTCTTCGTCCGCTCCCGTCTTCTTTGCCGCGCCTCGTAGTTCGCTCTTCTTTCAGCCTGGGATAAGTCTGGATTTATCCAGTAGTCCTCACCATCCTTGAAAACCTTGCAGCCATTTCCGTACTTGTGCTTGCTACGGGCAAGATCTGGTGTCGCAAGCACAACAACAAGGGGTCGTGGCTTTGTTCTTTCCTTATTAGAGCCAGACCCGAGAGGGGGACCAGCTCTGAAGCAGCGTTCTATCTGGTCGGTTGTGACATCTAGAACCATG